GCTTTAGCAAGGCGGCCATTACGGCGCTCTAGCATTTCAAGGAATTAATTCCTGCCAGGTACCCATTTCCATCACCTGGGTTGAGTGTGGCAAATGTAGATCAATGTCAAGGATATTACTTAGTGACATGGAAATGTCTCTGAATTTTGTCTCTGGAAGGCCTTAAGGGGTAGACAAAAAAAACATGCCTGTGCCCCGAATGCCGCTTTTACACTTGTTTTATCTGTTTACTTTTGTTTTATCTGTTTACTTTTTTTTACACTTTTTATGCAAATGTACTGTACATGTACATGTAGCTGACTTAGTTTGGGCTAGGATTAGACTTTGTTCTATGTCTTTCATCCAAGGGTTTTCAGTTTTGTTTTATACATAGTATACTGTGAATTTCAAATCGTCAAAATGAAAAGGAACTGACTCAAATCAATGGGAACATGTAGGCCTAATTTAGATGTAAAATTAATAGTCTAGCCTGGCCAGCCTGTTTGTCTGCATGTAGAGGTCTACATTTATTTGTCGGATGTGCATCTCTCTAGCGGTCCTTGTGAGTAATGATCCTCAATGTGAATTATGAATAGCGATCAATCGACCCTCAACTCACATTATGAATTGCGCCATTGCGGTCCTTATGAAGAACGGTCCTTGCCTTTATGAATAGTGATTAGTAACCCCCTATCGTTTTAAGAATAGCGGTCCTTATGATAGCGAGGTTACCCCGGTTTTTCAGATACATGTACATACAGTATTGGGAGATAGGATATGGCAATGAAAGAGGGTACATGCCATGCCTCATGGCTTGACACTAGCATAAACAAACGTTGTGTTCTGGGGTACAGTGTATTATGAAAAATATTTTGTGAGTGCATTTTTCTCATTCTTTGTATTTCCATTTTGAATTTATGCAGTAGAAATGTCCACCTAAATGGATTGGCCTTCAGATCTATAGCCCTGTATTCAAAGTATTCATAGTACCCCAACTGTCATGCCACGTTCACAGAAACGCCAAGTTCAAAGATCGGCGATGCGTGACATTTTCATGATTTGGCACACGAGCGCATAACACACGTATAAGGTATAGCGTTTTTTCAAAATCTAGCGCGCGTCGTGCGTTAGAGCATTTTCAGACCCACGAAATGTCATGCATAATGCGTGATACTTGGTAGCTCTGCGTTCAAGGTCCCATGTAGGCATGTACCGTTACCCATTTCTGAGTACTGCATGTGATTTTCAACTTTTCCCTATTGCTCGCACATATGATTTCTTTCAATGTAAAGCCATGACTATATAGTAATCACATTTTTCTGCAACTAATATATTTGATACAAATGTGAATGAAAGGGTAAGAGCAGCCAATCAATGATCCAAGCAACACAGGACATGCAGGCCTCATTGTATTGCATCCTGTACTACGTGTATATGTTCAGTAGACTCTACTGTAAAAAAAAACGTACATGTACATGTATACTGGGCCTATATTATACAAGTCATGTAGTTTTCTGTACACGTACATGTATAGGCCTTAATCTGTAGGGATTTTTTTAAATATCACTTTCACATTTTCTTGGCACAGGAGGAGGTTTTAAATGTACAGTCAACTAATATATTTAGGGAAAATTTATTTTACCCTGTACACATGTACACAAGCAAATTTAGCATTGTGTGATGTACATATACATACAGTGTAAGGGCTGGTAGTGTGCACAGCTAAATGGGATTTAATAGTGATATGAACAAGATTCAAATTGGCAGCAATCCACTTCCTATTTTGGTCATACTGCAGGTCAGCTGATATTCTAATTTTGGTTTACCAAAAAAGAAATATGGTTTTAAACTTTAACTGATTAATTTTGTTAATGACCGGTATTGTTGAATTTGTTTGCCTGTATTTGCACTTGTACATGTAGGCCTACAGTTAATCTGAAAAGGCATACCAGGGTAGACTATATATCATTTTGAAAAAAAACTTAGTGACAATTTAGCAAAATAAGAATTGCATTGGCATGTATAGACCATTTTCGTAATGTTATCAAATAATGCACAAATCCTTGTTAATTAAGTGCCTTGTTTTAAACAATTATTTCATTCACCTGTTATGAACAATTGCATTTCAGTAGTCAGAATAGACCAGTTCACGGTTAACACATTACTGCAATGACCCCGAATATCCAGAGATCTTCCAAACATGAAGAGGTCCTACTTTGTACATTTTTAAAATAATCACTCCTACAGCGATGAAAGTGCTATATAAATTGCCTTTGTTTCCCCTTTTCAAAGAATACTTCCACTTGTGTATCATGGAGTGCACTGAATGTGCATGAATGCATAATGATTACATAACTTTCATGAGAACGTTTCCAGCATTTCGTCTCCGTGTATTTCAAAATTTGTTCTGCAATGACCTTTATCTGCTCATGCTCAGACTACAACCGTGAACTGGCTTATTGCATACATTAATTGTTGCTAGGTAGTTTGACAAACATTATGTCTTGTTCTACCTTATGTATACATGTAGATATAATTAATGTTATGTATGCAATTTGCATTCTGACTATTGATAATAATAATAAAATAATTAACCGTTCTTGTATAGCATATAGTATTAAAACATGCCTAAGCGATATATAATTATTGTAACAGGTGAATGAAAGAATTGGGAATATGGCACTTAGCAAAGTTTTTAAATGCTTTAAATCTGATTACATTACAAAAATGGTCTATTACACATTAGACCAGTTTATGAAAGGAAATTAAATAACGAGCACATTCAAATCTTCTAATTTGATTATATCCGTTAGAATGTGACTGCTCATGATTGAATTTCTAAGTGATGTGTGATCACTCTGTGACAGTCATTACTGATGAGTTATACTGACAAGGCACTTAAATTATTAAGGAATATGTACTTTAGTGCTTTATTTCTTTGTTTTTGTTTTGTTTAGTTGGTTATCTGCGGTTTAGTATTTTGGGTCATACTGGAAGGGCACAGCACTGTTATACAATGCTTCAGCTGCACTCACTTCTACATGTAGGTCATATTGTAATCAACTGCAGAAAATCAATAAATGTAGCCTCAAATTGATCCAGCAACATCCATTCCCTAATAACCCAAACTGCAAACTAGATCTCATTCCTTACATGTACATTTGTACATGTAGCCTCACAGTTTTGATGAAGTAAAGCCCAGAGCAATTTTCGCAAAGCTAGGATATGTCAGATTACCTCAATTTGCACATGTCGTTTTCCTTGTCATAATTTTAGAAAAGTGTCGTTATTCATAAGAGGACCGCTATTCATACAGTGTAGATACAAAATCGGGGTTGTTATTCATAGGGTTCCCTATTCATTTAAATATGAGAAAAGGGTCGCTATTCACCCTCTTCTCATATTATGAATATCGATCCTCATTTTGTGTTATGAATAGTGGTCCTCATAGTGACCCTGATATACATTATGAATAGCGCCCCTTCTTCATGTTCATGATTAGCGACCCCGATTTCGTATTATGAATAGAGGTCCTTATGAGTAATGACCCTCAATATGAATTCATGTACTTGCACAATGCCCTAGGGCATATCATAGTACATGTATCTTGTGTTGATTTGAGTGAAAAATAATGTGCTCAACTTTCACAGAAAATTTGGTTTCAGTGTACAAATGTTTTAGTTTGATTAAAGTCCAAAACGAAGTAGGAACTTGTTAATCAAGTTTCATTCCTATATCTTTCTGATTTCCTGGATCTGACTTGTTTACGTTTAGTCAAAACTACGGTGTACTGTATATGCCTCAGTTTTTTATGGTCAGATGACTTGTATAGATCTATACATGTACGTGCGCAGTACAATTAGAAATATTGATTACCATCTGGTTCATTCATTGGAAAGCTATTTTAATAATCTTATCTCTGATGATCGATCTCTCTCTTGTATGTGTATACTTCAGGAAGTCGAGGCTTATGGTTTTATCATGTGTATACATGGGGCATAGTTCAGCCTATAATAGAGCAGTCAATGTTTGTTTTTGATTTGAAACATATCTGCACATATTTGTTGATAAGATGAATGTGTACCTATACATGTGTATTTAAAAGTTGTTACTAATATAAACAGTTGTTGCTAAATGCTAATTTTATGTGGATTTGAGAGATTTTTTGCTGCAATTTTAAAGTGAGGAAAAATTTAATTTTTGATATAGTCCGACTTGTACTCTCACTGCCTCTCATAATCACAATGGTAAGATAATGCATGCATTGATGCAACAGTGTAATTTGTGTTTTAGTAATTAATGACATTAAAGATGAAGTTGAGTTCTGCATGGTCGTGCGATTGCATTGTGAAAGAAACGGTGTGGAAGCGACCAGAAAAGGTTGATCATCTAGCATATAAGAATTTGTGTGTATTGCAAGGTTTTGGAATCATCAAAATGATAAGAAATGTGGCCAAGTCTTGGTAAAGTTACAAACACTTGTACAGAAAGATGTATATGGGACTACATGAACACGTGGCGTAAAAAGCCGGCCCCCCCCCGATTTTTACGATGTTACATGCATATTTAGAATATGAAGGCATTTGAAGAGCCATGCTTTTCAGGGAACATGTCTTAACTAATGTTCTTCCACACTTGCATAATAGAATGAGTAATGCTCACAAATTATTTTTCACCTCTTCCAGAACTCAACCTTCTCTTTAAGTCTTGAAAGTAAATGGCACAAATCAGTTCTAAATCATTTGCCCTGCAGTAAAAAAAGACACGTAAAAAAAGAAACGTCATACAGTACATTGCACAGAATCCCCCAATAGGTAAGGTACATGTGATTGTAGATCAAAAAGGATTCGAGTTTTATTTTTTAAAAAGGATTCGAGTTTCATTTTTAAAAAAAGGATTCGAGTTTCATTTTGAAAAAAAATGAAAAGAAGTGTGTGATCTTGTAATATTGGTTAACAAAGTTTTGCAAAATGGTGATGATTTTTTAATCCATTCTCTCGCTTTCTTTCTCTCTTTTTTCTCTGCAGATAACATTACGTCTGTGGATGTGAAGTGACATAAATGAATGGAATAGAAAAATAGATTCATATTTCTGTGTGGTAAGTATCATATTCACCTTTGACATTTAATCTAAAGGACATTTATTATTTATTATTATTTATTTATTTATATATATTTATTATATATATTTATTTTTTTTTTTTGGGGGGGGGGGGGGTATCAGAATGAATTTAAACTCAAGCTGATTCTGTATTGTTTATCTTGCAGTAGAGGGGTTGGTGAAGAGCAGCAAAATAAGAATTTTTGCTGGAAATTACAATTTGTAAAAAGCCCAACTCTCAATTTGTACATAATCATACATGTGTCAGGATACTCTGTTTGTATTGGTTTTCTTATCTTTCATTACTCATTAAAACTGTTGTATATATGTTTCAATGTTTAGCAGCAGATATCATTTATACATAATCTTGATTCTGTGAGAATTTTCCTTCTGTCATAACTCTATAGATTGCCTTTTTATTTATTTGTCTTTAAATAGTATAGAGTCCTTAGTTTGTGAACGAGATACATGTTTCTAGGATGGTCCCCAAGCAAAAATTTAAACATTTAAAATTGGAATGTGAAAGGAATATAAACTATAAAGGTTCCTTGAGGCCAGATTAAAGGCTCTAAGGTTCTAAGATGCACTCTGATGCAATCTAAACCATATTTGAAAGCACTTTCAAACACATGTTAATACTTCATAAATAATTTAGGGTGAGAATGAAGTTATGAACCTGTACATTTGAAATTGAAACATTGAGTTAATTTTGAGACCTTTACTATCAAAATTCAAACATAGAGCTGATTCTCAATCCTGTATAATAAAAATTCCAACCTGTTGCTTTTACATGTTTAAACCCTGTGTGGACCTCCTTGTGTATTTAAAATGGTCTCTGTGTATTCATAACAGGAATAGTACATGTAGTTACTAAAAATGTGTCATTTAGAAACTGATCTTCTTATTTTTTGTCTGAGGGCAAATGCCAAATGAGGTCACCATTACATTTGAAATGTTCATGTACATGTAAAATCAGCACTCATGCTGTGTTATATAGTAAATATAAGCTTAGATTTTGGTAAAAAGTAAATACATTGTGCATGTAAATGTTTTGTTTGTGCATTGGATGTAACTTTAAAGTGCTATCAGTTTAAAATATTCAAAATATGATATGATCATGATGGCAGATTGTGTTTCCAATCTAAAGATGTTGATAAACATGGTTAAAGTTAATATCTTGCTTAGAACTGATCCTAATTAGGTTTGTTTGAGCTTATTTAAAATTATAGTATGATAATGTTCTCTCTCTCTTTCTTTCTCTGTTTTGAAGTATATCTGTTTTTTTAGCTTTGTTTCTTATTTAGTATTATACTTCCAAGTTTGGGAGCTACATGTATATTGTGCAATCTGTCCCATACGACATGTACTTTTTCCCCAAATATTCCATCCAAAAAATAGAAGAATTCCATGTAATGACCTTGGAATAATGGTGCTCTTTGGTATCGCTACCATTAATCACACATGTAGCAGGCCTGATAATTACCTGATTTAAATTGGTTGCCTGATTATTATATTTTTGATTTTTTTTTTTTCTTTTCTTTATTTCCTTTATTTTTCCAGACTTTTTCTGTATTTTTCCCCAATTTTCTTACTCAAAAGGGGGAAATGTTGTTAGATGCCATTCTTTTCCCCCTGAATCCTTTTTATTTTTATTTTTACTCAAGGGGGGGGGGGGGACTTTTTTTTCTTCAGTGGTCACTTTCACCCCTGTAATCACATCAAGAGATTTTTTTATTCATGGATGAAATACGCGGATAAGAGTCATAAATGTATGTTGTATATTATACATTACACATAATCATCCCTTTGTGTAAATGCTTTATTTATTTTATTTTTATGCAGTCCTCTGTGCAGCATGGTCTCTTGGAGAACATCAAACATCGGAAAACATCATGGAATCAATAAAGATCAAGAGCAATGCGAGGAAGTCAACCTACAGTGGGAGGCCGAATGCAGCCCACCAGGAGCAGCTGAGAATGAGACAAGCCTTAAAACTGAAGTCCAATGCCAACCGTGTCCCAGTGAAGTCATCACCAACAACATGGAAGAGCCCCGGATGGTCCCTGAGCGCAAGAGTGCGTCAAGGCACCAGGGACGAGCTTCTAACTCCAATGGTCGTCGCGAATGACAAGGAGAGCATTCCAGAAGCTGCAGCATTGAACAGTGACATGAGCAGCGGATCGGGGAATGTCGAAAATGGCGCCAGGAGTGAGAAGAAAAGTCCAGATCAGAGAAGCCTCTGGTCACTCTTTTCAGCTCCAAAAGAGAAGGTAGATGAAAACGCATCCCAGGTAGATTCCATCACCAATGGTTCTGGTAAAAGCGATGATGACCATCTTACACCTCAACGTGTCAAAAGAGCTCCATCACGAGATCCAAGGATTAGAAAGAGAGAGGAGTCTAAGGCAGAGCTCACCAAAAAGATCAGTCCAACTTCTTTCAATCTCTTGTCAAAAATGAAACCACTGAAAAGTGCTTCAAGGAACTTCTTTGCACATCTGGGGAAAAAGCCAGATGTTTCTGCTAGCCCGGAAGTTAGTGCGACTTCAGAACATGATAGAGTTACATTGGACTCTCAAAATGATGCAAGTAACGCTGCAACAGAGCATCGTGACAGCAGAGTAGGTAAAGGGCAACAGTTGTGTCAAGAAACAAAAACTTAAAAGACATCAGAAAAAAGAGCTCAAAGAAGGAAGAGAATTATGAGCAAAATTGCAATATACTTCATCTGAGAGAGCAAGCAAGGATTTGCTCAAGTGCTAGAGATAAAAAGGAAAATTCTGTGACGGTAGAACATTCTAGGATGAAGGAAAGTGGTAGTAAAACAAGAAACAAAAGAGGAGAAAATGCACTTCCCGACACTGGGGAATTGGTCTCGACAAACCAAAATCAAGATAAAGACGCTTCATTAGCAGAGGATGCTACGAGTGGCACAGCCAGCCCTACAAAACTTGAGGAAGGACCCAGCAAGGACATAGCTATGCCTACTCTGACATTACCGGCAGAAATTGAGCATAAGCGATATCCAAGTAATGTGTCAAGTGAACTTGATGATAGCGAGTGTCTATTCATTGATGAGCAAGCCCATGCTGATTCTCCATCAGATAATGATGAAGACTCCAGTAAGGTACAGGATGAAGAGGAAAGTCATGTCCTACGTGTGTGGAGTCTGCAGTCAGAGGGAGAAAGAAACAGTGACTTCCAGGATGTTGACCTCAGCAGTTCATTCGGTGGGGATGCGAACTCTTCACTGGGTCTGGATGATAGTTTACCATCCGTAGGTAATGAATCTCTGAACAGCTTTGGTGTGTCCAAAACAGAGAGTGATGCGAGATTTGTTGAGAGACTCCATGAAGTTGAGAAATCAGGTGCTTTGTCAAAAAGCTGTAGTGAGAGAATCTTAGAGACAGCCAATGCCACTCTCAGGAATGCAGATACACGTATCCACAGGAGCAGGAGTTTAGAAGAAGGCCCTCCAAAGTTACAAGCTCAACCAAACACACATCATCTTCTACAGGAATTGGATAGCTTGTTAGAGTCCAGTACTTTTCAGAGTGACTCTCATTCAAACATGCAACATGAAGCGATCAAGCATTCAAACAGGAATCTTGAAGCAAGTCAGGATTCAAAGACGCTGGTTGAAGATAGTGAGCCCTCAAACATGCAGTATGATGAAATTCAAGGAACAAGTGGAACAGATTCCCTCAATCAAACTGAAGAATCTGGCCATAGCAATGCAACAGAGTCCGCCAGGAACATATTCAGTCTCTTTGGTAGTGCGAAAAAGCCATTGTCGCCTAAAAACATTGTAAAGCTTCAAATTGATACAGGTAACCCCTACAGCAGCTCATATCTTTCTGCTTCGTCAAAAGACTCGATAGTACTATCTGGAAGTTGCTCGGGCGAAAGGAACAAATCAACAAGGACAAAACATACTGAACTTAATACTGCCAACACTTTGTCAAATAACAACGCACCAGACACCGGACTCCCAACTTTGTCTTTTCGTAATGAGTCGCACGATACACCAGGCATTTTTTTATCTGGTAACAATTCATCAGATCACGGTCTCCCTTCTTTGACAAATATAAAGTCACCAGGTACTAGTATTCCCAGCCTGACACCAGAAACGGGTACAGGAGATGGACAAGGGAGCAGGCAGAAAGACATACCTCCCCAGAACAGTCAACCTCCGGAACTGTGTCTGGAGGTGAATCCATCATCCCTTGGTGAGAGAGAGGCATCCTTGTCTTCTCCAATCTTCCCTGCACCGGACGAAGAAAATGTGGACAACGTACCATTCTTAGCATTTGAAACTAGGGATGATCTTGTATCATATTCCAAGGCAATGAAGCTGAAAATGCAGAGAAAGCCTACTCAAACAAACAAAGTTCCTTCCAAGAAATGTGTGTACCCTGCTGTGAAAAATGTTAAGATGAAAAAGAGAAGGAAGAACCCAATGGAGGCAAAGATAAAGGCTCTTGAACAGGATTTACTGTGGTCCATGGAAAGCAAGGGTCTTACAGAAATAGTCCATCCTGTTCTTAGTAGAAAAGGAGTTGCTCTGGATGCAGTCAAGAAAAATGATCTAGTTGTGAATGTGCGAAACGAAGAACTTGAAAGACTGTCATACAAAAAACCAAAGCATAAGAAAAAGCATAGGTCAAAGTCGGAAATTGGCCACACATCACATGCCAGAGGGCATGGCAGGCATTCAAATTTTGTTGGGCTTTCGAGACATAGACATTTCTCAAGTTTGCAAGTGAGGAAAAGTAGCATAGACAAAGACTGTAAAAAAGAGCATGCAGAGAAGCCCTCGGATACAGGGAAGGTTGTTGGACTGAAGCATGGACATTTTCCAGATTTGCAGAAGAGCATTAGCAAAGTGCAGAGCTCTGAGCAGTCAAAGAAAGAGACAGAGACGAAAAGAAGTGAGGCTAGACATCAAGAGTGGGCAGTTTGTCAAAAGGAATTGCATGCTCCATCGGAGAGACCATCTCTGAAATTGAAGCTTGTAACCAAAGCAAAGAGCACATCTCCCACAAAAGTTGAGCAGAGTCCTCTAGCCTTGTCCACTAAACCTAGGGAAAGCACAGTGCCTGTAAAGAGTCCTACTTCCCACATTCCAGTCAATGTTCAACAGCTACAATTACCATCATCCTCCGCTGTCACAAAAAGTACCGTACCACAGCCCAGTGCAAGGCTTCCGGTAGAGGAGAGTCTCCCCTTCAAACCTTTCGAAAAACCTGTCGCTTCAAAGAAATCTGCATTTGTGAGTGATGCGCTTGAAGATCTTCTGCAAGGAGTTGGCATGAACAATAAGATGAAGCCTCTCATCTCCCCTTCTACAATATCTGTGAGCAATGCCAAGGTAGTCTTCAAAGTACCAAGTAGACAGAGTCATTCTGTGAAGACGCTGGACATGGCACTCAAGAGACAAAAACCATTGAATGTTGCTTCTCCAAGCTACAGCAGCTTACTTCTCAAGGATTCTCATAATGAACACAGAGGTGAGAAAAAGAAGAAGAAAAAGAAGAAAAAGGAGAAACACAAAGATAAAAACAAGTATAGAATCAAGGACGGGTTTGTCTTTGGGACTGGACCTGATGACTTGGTTAGAAAACTACCCAAGCTTCCATTTACTAGCTATGGAAAATCATTTGCGAGACCTCTATTTGCGAGAGAGCGGCAAGATGTCAGCAAGGTTGGTGACAAGTCTCAAGGATTTCTTGACGTCAGAAATGTTCTTTCCTTGTCTGATAAAGCTACGGGTAAACGCCAATCTGATGAGGCCGAGGTGCAAGGCACTAAAAATATTAAGCAGGAGCCAGAAGAAAGTAATGAAGATCGACCATATGCTGATGAAAACCTACCATCCATCTTGAACATGAATCTCTCACCTAGTGGAAAAGATGGGGATCTTTTACAAGAAGAAAGTAACATTGCAAGCAAAGAATCCAAAAGTGAAGAAGGTCAGGCTCCGTCTGAGACTAAAGTTGGGGGGAAATGTAAGGAATACCAGGAATACTGTCGTCTTGGATGCATATGTAGCAATCTAGATGAAGCAAGACCGGTGCAAGAACTGAGTAATCATTGCCGCAAAGTGGATTGCATGTTCGATTGCATATGCAAGAAGTCTTCATCACAGTCCGTGACAGGTACAAGAATACGACGGCCTCCGACACATGCTCGTGATATGCTCTTTTATGATGAATCGTACAAGTTTTGGAGGGTTGGGGATCCCGAAAGTACCACAGGAGAAGTGAAGAAAATGCAATTGCTTGATCATCTCCCAGAGAGTGAGAAAAGGAATTTGGTCAGTAGTTGTGCTAGGACAAGGCATTTCGTCACTGATAAGCCAGATAAATGGATCAAATTGAAGAGGAAACAGCAAGGAGATGAAGCAGATCAGCAGGTGGAAAAGAAAAGAGCTGCTGTATCAAATGTTGCTCATCCCTTGGCTTCCGAGAGTTCAAAACCTCAATTAACCAATAGCAACCGTGATCTGCAACATGGAACTCAGCGTATTGTAAAGCAGCAAAAATCACATCACAGAAAAAAGGAGTTCATACCCTTGATATTTGCAGCCAAGGATAGGAAGAGGGGGCAAGTTTCAGATCAAGCCAGTGAAGCAGCTTATTCCAAGAGCAAAGTGAAGAACATCCCTTATGCTGAGATGACTGCACCACTCTCTCTTGCGTCTACGTCATCCCAAGGACAAGCACCTGAAGGATCAACATTCTTACCAGTATCAAAGCAATACTTGTTGAATGGCAATCTGATGAACATGGTCATGCTGCCAAATGGAAATAGGATATTGATACCAGCCAGTTGCCAACCAGCCACTTGCGAACCACTCTCTGTCACAACAGCTATGGAACAAAGCAAACCTTTTTGTGCTTCTGAGGCCAGACGCCCTGCACCGAAGGTGAAATGTGCACAATATGAAACATCAGCAATCCCTGTACAAGTAGCCCAACCGATCAAGAATACCTCAATGCAATCCTCTGTACAGAATGAAGATGGGCTAAAACTCCCAACTGCACAAATTGGCAGTTCAGTGTCCAGTGTGACTTCTGGACACCAGAGAGCAGTCTTGCCTGTACGGTTCGAACTGACATCATCTGGGATAGTACTTAAACCAGGGGTAGAAGCTCCAGCAACTGCAGCAGCTCCAGTCTCTTCAAAAGGGACAGAACCCAGTGTTCAGCTTAATGTGGCTCGGCAAGCACTTCAGAACTTGATTGAAAAGGAAATTTCAACAGCAGTACCAGCCAAGACTTGTCTAGTAAAACCGCGAGTTAAATCAAATACCTGTGTTCCATTGGCAACTTCTTCCAAGAAACATGATGCAGCTGCCAGTTTGCAGGAACAGGAGCATAGTGCCACAAAGTCTGTCATCCAAGTTTGTTCACCCTCTGAATCTGCAAGCCATGAGGATAAAGAAGAAATCGATTCTGCAACCAGCAAGGCAATTCTGGTCCCTGGATCTAGCCCTGGGAAAGCATATGCTGCCTCCAATATACATGATAAATCACAATCCGTGTCTGACAGTGGGATGGAAACTTCTAAGAAATTGTCTTCCTCTCTACCAGGGTTTGATAAGTTGTCAGAGATTGTAAGACGAACTTCTGTTGATGATGATGATGGATTAAGTCCAGTAAAGAAACTAACCCGGAATGTTTCAGATTGGTTGCACAATCCAAAGATCCAGAAGCCATGGGAACTGCAAAATTACACAGGAGTGAAAGGTCCTTGGTTCACTACAGAAAATGAAGGTGTTAAGGTAGTTCTTCAGAGAAACAAAGATAAAAGATCCCCGTTTGGAAAAGGAGGCAAATCCCCGATTAAACCAACGCCACAGACAACTTCAAAAAGACCCTCAACATCACCATCACCAGTCCTGTCTCCCAGGAAATCTGCAAAGGGTGAAAAGACAGCTTTCCAAAACACAATGGACAATGATCCAGACTCTTGTGAAGGAAAAAGTTTGGCCAAAGATGAAGGAGAGGCATCTGAAAATGTTCATTTTGTTGCAATGGAGCATAATAAGAAAGCAGAAACACCTGTAAATGAGATCTTTCAAACATCAGAAGAGTCTGTTGAGGATAAAGCGGAGCCCTTCCAAGAGCTAATAACAAGAACTGAACATTTGAATAAAGAGAACCAGTATAATCTCTCTGAAACTATTGATCTTCTGTTAGACAGCAATGCCATTAGTATTGTCTCTACCTGTAATAGTCAGATCGATAATAAACCTGAGAAAGGAGCTTCCAAAACTCTTGTTGACACCTCTAACAATTCTGAAATAAATGAGAAGACAGATATTGGTGGACTAAGTGAACAACAAAGTAAATTAATATCTTCTGGGGATCTGATCCACCTAAAGCTGTATCTCCTTCACCAGATGCTAATATTGATGATGAAATGGATGCAGAAGGAGAGATTGGCATTGCGGATGCAGAAGGAACTCTCGGTATTGAACACTTTGCAAGGTTTAGTGAAGAGGATGCTTACAGACCCTTGGATGTTGACGAGGAAGTGCCATGTTCCTTTGACTTGCCTGCAGACTGCAATGATGATGACAACTCCTCTGTTGCATCCCTGAAAATTTATGAAGGCATTACTAATGATATATCCAATGCCGACTTGGGGATGAGCACATCATTACCCAAGGACCATATTCAGGAAACTTCAGAAACCCCTGAAGCGAAAGGAGATACTCAGGAAAATCTACCATCGCCAGCAGCTAGCAAAGATAGGGTATGCACAGACTTGACTGACCCACCACAAAAGGACTCCCGAAGCTCAAAAGACGAGTCCAACTATGATGCAGGGATCCTTCTTCATACTGAAAACACACCAGAAGTTCCAGTTGTGGGAGAGTCATTAGACACCCTCATGTCAACTCCTGTCATACCTGAGCATGTGCCAGAGAATCAGCCATCATTGGCTGAGGATATTATCCAAACAGAAACCACCCCCATGAGAAACCCAACTGTTCATCCAAAGAAGTCACTAATTATGAACATCAAATTTGTAGCTACCAGTAACGAGAACTGCACTTCTCCAATATGTTCGTCTCCATCATCAGAAGTTCTTTCAGAGAACACACAAGATGGATCACCAACCCCAGTCAAAGACAATGATCCATCAGATGCCGGTCTGTCAGATACAGATAACTTCACTTCTCCAATATGTACGCCTCCAGTATGCCCATCACCCATATGTACGTCTCCATCGTCAGAAGTTCTTTCAGAGAACACACAAGATGGATCACCAACCCCAGTCAAAGACAATGATCTATCAGATGCCGGTCCGTCAGAAACAGATAACTTCACTTCTACGATATGTACGCCTCCAGTATGCCCATCACCCATATGCATGTCTCCATCGTCAGAAGTTCTTTCAGAGAACACTCAAGACAGATCACCAACCTTAATCCAAGACAGTGATCCATCAGATACAGAGGTAGATGTTGTCAACACAGACGATGATGATGAGGATGTCGATGTTGAATCTGTTGTTGGCGTCACTCCAGCTTTCCAAAACTTAAACCCGTATTCCTCTCTCAGAAACATAACTTCAAGACTCTCAAGTACCCTGCGAAAGGAACAGGCGATGGACATGGAACAAACGAAGATCAAACCCAAGTCATCCAGTAACCTGCGAAAGGAACAGGCGATGGACATGGAACAAAAGAAGATCAAACCCAACTCATCCAGTAACCTGCGAAAGGAACAGGCGATGGACATGGAACAAAAGAAGATCAAACCCAACTCATCCAGTAACCCGCCATTTAAACTTTCAATTGGACATAGCTTTGGCTCTCCAACGCACATTAAAAAACATAAATCATCAAGTGTCTACCGTGCGCCCATGAAAATTAATTCGCAGGTATCAGCAATTGCTCCGGTCAAGCACAAGAAGAAAAAGTCCAAGAGAAAATCTCCAGTTTGCCCAGCGAAGCAGTGGGATTCTCCTCATTATCGGGTGGTTTACACCGAACAACCTTTAGTGGTGAGTTTACTGAATGCATTCAATTTTGTTTCCTTTCCTCTGAAAATGTTTTATTTAACAAGTTACAATGAATCAAATTATTTATTCAATCTTTTTTTTTAAATAAACAATATTGATAAGGATCAATGTGTTGGAAAGGATTGCATTATCTTCTTTTTTCCTGAAAATTTAGATATTATTTTCTTCTATAATTATTTTCCCATGCACTCATACTTCATTAGTTCAGAGGTACATATTTGCATCCTAGAAAAAACAAAACCCCCCCCCCCCCCCAAAAAAAAAAAAAAAAAAAATCATTGTGATTGACCAGCTGTATGAAATTATTCTTTTTAATTTATAATAAGTACAAGTAATGAGCTTTCAATTGATACATTGATCGAATTAATCCATACATGCTTCATTGAGCAACATTATTTTGAAAATATCATGTTCAAATTCTTTTGTACCAGACTTTGGTATTCTAACAGAAAAACACAAAAATCTCTTTGCTTAAAATTGATTAGATGAAGCATGACTGTAGCAAGAGATGAACAGACCTGTTAATGTTAACATTTCAATTTCAAATTATCCATTTTAAAACCTGGCTTATAATCCCTAAAATAACAATAATAATTTTCCGTTTCCAATCCGTCTTCTGTCACCCACCGCTCTCTACTTTCGCTGTTACAACGAAATGTTTTGTGTTAACTCACCCAACCATTGAGTCCATTATTAGCTGCTAGGTCAGGAAACCTGAATTGCTTCTTAAATATACACTTATTTGGGCAGAAAGTAAGCATGTTTTCATTTTACTTGTTCACTGGCATACATCATTATTTTTAATGCATAAGGTGTCATAGGTGCGAGAAAGTATTGAATTTTTATATGATTTTTTTTTTTTTTTTTTTTTTTTAAATACTATAATTACTTTTTTTAAATGATTTTGTAGCACCAATTTCCATTATTTTGATTCAATCATGTGTGAATTATCAATGATAAGTAGTGCATCAAATGAAAGAAGAGAAACTGAGCTTTTAATACACATGAATTATCCTATCAGTATCAATGAAATTAATAATGATACAAAATTTCTGCGCTGTAATCCAGCTACCGTTTTTCTAGGACACCCTGTTTAGTATTTGCAGTCAAATTGCGTAAACAGTTTACTTATGTGATAATAATATGTTTGTGTTAATATTGTGATTGAGAAACATATTTATAATGTCTTTGTCTTTTAGATACAGGAAGAGAAGGAGGAGGAGGAGGAGGTTAATGAACGAATGGTAAGTAAGTTATAAGATTGTGATATACAGTTAATTCTGCATAACTAAAAGTCGCACAAGTCAAATTCCCCCAAAGTCAAATCAATTTTTTGAACAAACTATGCAAAACGTGTGTTATTTACACTTTTTAAAGGGATCCGGTCACTTTGTCTCAGATTCTGAAACAAAATTCTGGATTTAGCTCATGCTGCAATGATAATTATAAACCTTTTGGTCAGTCAGAAACCCTATGACTTTTACAAGCCGATCGCCTGTCTGATTATGAAGATATTTATGATTGGAATTACAAGTTTTGAAAACCGTTTGCCAAATGGTTTTCATAACACTACAGTCTATTGGGGAAAACCGGTCACTCAAAGATTTTTACTTTTTTGAGGCACTTCTTGATAATTTTGAAGTGCAATCTTTTAATGACTTCAATATTACACCATATCACAGACACTGATAACAAGTAGGGCCGTGTATCTCAGATTTGACATTGTTACACGATCCCTTTAAGTTGAATATTGCATTTGTAATTCAAACTATTTTGTTAAGTCCCAACAGATTTGACTTCTGCAGAGTTAACTTTAGCCCACCCCAGAATTTAATTTTTTAATTGATGGCCAGATAGTAGCATGAAAGAAAATTAATATGCACATATACTGAAGCTTTCCATCTCACTCTCTTTAGAATATGTGACAAAAATCGGTAGGAACGGAAAAAAATTGCAACCAAATATCTTTGACCGGAAAGAAAATGCACCAAAGTAAACCAAAAACAAAAATCCCATTCTGTGGGCATAGATTAGGGTAGGTGAGTTGGGAATAAGTTGTGAGATAAATGCTTACAAAATACGGTAATGCACAGAGTAGGTCAAAGTTGAAGGGTCAAATAATAGATTGTTATTTATGTTAAACTGCTTGCCCTTGAATGCCTGCATGGATTTTTCAACAAATAATGTGTTCAGTGGACATGGGAGTAGTAATTGACATATTTTATTCATATGAAAAGCTTACATGTCCCTCTGTTCAGCCTACACCCAATAACATTTAGTTATTCAGAGATAAACGGCTGAGAGAAATTAATAATCAAAACAATGAAAGAAAAAAGTTGGCAGTCATTATCCAGAGAAATTTCTGTATTGTTCATCTTACCGGTCCTTGGGACAAAATTAACTATAAAGGTTTCAAAGAAAAAATTGCCACAGAGATATTTCTACAAAACGTTAAATGACACTTTGCATTGACAATAATAAAGATAAGAAACTGGAGATGCATTTTTAAGGGAAAAAATTAACCTGTACACAATGTTATAATAATGTGGATGGCATGAAAACTCTACAATGTGATCTTAAAATAACATTCTAAACATAACAGGAAATAATTCTTTCTTTGAATTGTCGTGCGTTAAACTGGCACATTTCTTTTTTTTATTTCACTGTCTGGCATTTGTATGCAGCGTTTGTGTTTATTTCATTTGTTATTGTTTTGGGTATTTTACAGAATGTGAACATAGTGATTCCTCTTTTCATTTATGATTTTTTTTTTCTTCAGAATTATGAAAAATGTCCTATGCGTATAATATTACTGCATGCACTAAAGACAATTTGATATTTGATTGAAATGTAGATATTTGTATGTACCTCATTCAGACCCCATCATCATCCATGTCTCGAATGTGGATTAAATTGGATTTCTATGACTCCTATTTTAACAGAGCAATCACAACCATTTGGAGCGCCTACGAAGGGAGGAACTTCGGAAGACATTCCTTGGGCTCAGCGACGCCGTTCGTGGATCAAAAGAGCATGAAGTATCAGCTGAGCATGGATTAGCCCACAAGAGAGTTCCCCCTAAGATTCATATCTTGAAGCAGGTACGTCATACAACAGCAACAACAAAACAACTACAACACTACCAAAATATTAACAACAACATCAGCAATAATAATATTAATAATTAATACCTCGCTGATGAAGTCGGAGGGGAAAGATAGAATATAGCTGCCATTTTCTTACGTTCGTAACAAATCTAGTTTCCATTCAATAACTTTAGTAATGATTGATGGATTTTAATGAAATTTGATATGAAGGTACGTGGTATCAAAACACAGCCTAAATTCAATTTCCGAGTATGTAGGTCAAAGGTCATAGCTCATTAAATATGTGAGCAAATCCAGTTTCCATTCATTACTTTAGTAACATTGACGGATTTTATGAAATTTGATATGGAGGTACATGGTATCAAAACACAGCCTAAGTTAGATTTCCGAGTAAGTACGTCGAAGCTCGTTAAATATGTGAAAATACCTAATTATTTATGCGAAAAGTTAAACGAACAGCAATTTGTAGTACTTGCTGGAAGAGTCCAACACTCATTCCTTGACCAAACTAATCATTCTAATCTTCTGATCTTTTTTTCTCTCTGTTCCAGGCTGTTGCAGAGATTAAGAAACTGACAATTATCGAGAAAGAACTACTGATGGAAAAAGAAATTTTCCAGAAACAGCAGAGACGACTTGTCTATGTCCATAGCAACCTCCTTCGTGAGTACCTTTATTCTTGGAAGAAAACAAATATTTATTTAAGATCTTTGACATATTGTGTTTGTATCATAGTTTGCTGATGATATGTACTTGAACTGCCAATTTAGGATATCGTAATGATCAATCTTCTTGCAATTTCATTATGTATGCACTATGCAAAATAGCTTGTGGTCGTATTATCATTAGAACCAACAGATGGATTACTATCAAACTCAGGACATGGATGTATCTTGCAGAGCCATGTATATGAAAAATAGTTTGTAATCACAATATTCTGAGAACCTGCTAATGGATTACAATCAAACTTGAATTTTAAAAATTGCATCTGTTTTGGTTTGTAAAATCGCTTTATGGCGGAGGCATCATTTTCGACTGCACGCAGTCAATGATCCATCTAGTTGTTCTTGAGTTAAGTTGGCAAAATGAACTGACTTTCTTTTTTTCCCCTTTTTTAATTAACTAAACCTTGACCACCAGGGCTAAGCTCTTTAATTGTTTGTGAACGACATGTAGAGTTTAAAGAACATTTGAATAGGCTGACTAATATTAGACAGGCTCTGCAACCATATAATTTTTTGATCCAGAACACTTTGAGTGGTTAGGGTGATAACTTAGGCTTCTACCAACCTTCATAATTTTCTGTATAAGCTGTTATTTTTGCGAGGGTTTTATTTTTCGCGAATTGCATATTATCGCAAATTTATCAATACGTGAAAATATTGGCACCTCATCTTTCCAGAGCGCGAAAATATCAGCATAAAATTACGTGCATGCATCCTCTCGATCGCTAGCCACTTAACTGCATTGGTCTTATGTTCGTAATGCAATGCTGTCACCTCCTGCCCTGCGCGTTCCTTCTCTCCCCACGCCTATATTGCACAGATTGCAGGACGCACGCCTATTACATGTATCTTCGTACAGTACCATGGGCTGCCGAAACTTGTGTGTGTACTTGCGTGACCGAGTCTGTGTGTGTTTTGGTTGGCGTGAGAAAATTTGTGAATACTTCATACCCATTCATTAATTTTGCTGTTTGCTATTCGCAAGCTTTCATCAACTCCTGAGGATTTTGTCAGGGCAAATGATTCTCACACAGTTTCTTGCTGTTTGGTGCCTCAAGATCATTTGAGTGAGGATACGCAATAGTGAATAGCCAGAGTTTTTGTCACCTTCATGTATCTTGGCTCTATTGATATCAAGGCAGCAGACAGCAAGAAACTGGGTGAAGAATTAGTTGGCTTCAGAAATTCCACAGGAGTGGATGAAAGCTCACCTGCATACTATATGTTAAGCCTAAGTTACTTGTCTTGTCATTTTCTACTCTTAGTGTAATTATGACGAATATCACTACTCCACATAACCAGCAGAAAGTTTAAATTCATATCGTGAATGATATAATAGTTTATAACCATTACTTCATAATAATTTCAGACATATTCCTATTTCTTCGGCAGATGACTTGATTGTAGATTACAAACTTACTTACGTTTTTTCAATGATAGGGCAGTTCACAACTGTATGGGATGAATCAGTTCAAATAAATTTATACTTTTTTTTTCCCCTCAGATCATGCAAGGTGTAATGGACAGATCATCTTTCCTGAAGGCTCCAGACTTGCTGAATCGATGGACAGGATAAGGGCTGGTCTGAGCAAACGCAATCCGGCTGTTCCTCCAGAAAGCAAGCATATCCAAGATTCTTCAACAGATCTGCAAGGCAAGGGCAGGGTGAGAAAAGCCCCCAAGAACTGGGAGCAGACACTTGGTAGTCACATCACAAAGAAGGATTCCAGTGCAGAGAGGAGTGCTAATCCTTCCCTTGTCTTCAAGAAGAAAAAAAGCAAACACATTTCTGCTACATCTTTTGGAAGCAAGGATATTCAAGATTCCTCAGCAGACCTGACATGCATGGGCAAGGAGAGAAAAGCATCAAAGACTTTTGAGCAGTTTCTTGACAGTCGCATCACAAAGAAGGATTCCCGTACAGAGAGAAGTAGCGACGCTTACGGTGACTTCAAGAAGAAAAAGAGCAAGAAGAAAAGTCACAACCGTCACTCGGACAAGACATCAAGTAGCTCTCTAAAGACAGCCTTTGGTCCTTATCCCCAACCAAAGATCCACCAGGGTTCAATAAGTATCTGAATTATATGCCTCTAACAAAGAAAGACCTCAAGACATCTCTCAGTAAATCACAGAAAGAAGATCAGGAAAGTACCATAGACTTATCCGTGCCCTCTGGTTCCGGACCGTTGTCACATGGCAGATATGGGGTTTACAGCAGCACGGGGGATCACGACAGCTCTTCCAATGAAGAGGAATCTTTGCCGATTGATTGCTACGTGTCCAGCAGTGACGAGCCATGGGAGGATGATGAGGGTGAGGAAGATTATGGGATGGATTACGATGAAGAGCCATACAGCGATGACGGCTTCATTCCTGAGAGTGAGGATGAGGACACTGCCAACAACAAGAGTTTGGAGAAGAGCGGAGCTTTCGGTTCTGATGGCGACAAGAAAAAGGGGGAGTCTGAACAGGACATTGTTACCATCAACATTGATCTCGATGATTTTGAGCAAGAAAATGTAGAGAGCAGGAGCGATTCAGAATCAAGCGCAGAGTTCACAGGTATGAAGAGAGTAATGCCAAAGGTCAAACAAATGTCTCACAGAAAAGAAAAAAGTTATGCAGAGAGTGCAGATTCTGATGACGATGTGTTAGTCATAGCAGAAGAGGCCGGTAGCACCAATGATAAGCTGAAAAAGAAGGAGAATGAAAGAGGGACATCAAAGAGTCTGGACGGTAGAACTGTGTTGGAAGGACGTGGCAGCCAAAATGTAGCCAAGAAACAATCCAAAACGGACAGGGGGGCCAGGAAGGTTAGTTCCATTCCTTCAGTGTCTCAGTGCACACTAGTCAGTAAAACAAGCCAAGACTCTTCTCAAAGTACTCAACCTATCGAACCTCAAGGAGAAGGATCAGGTGTGAAACAAAACAAAGCCCCTCTGGTGAATGTTATAGATGAAATTATGAACAGGTTGACAGGGGGTACTCTAAGCAGTGGTAACAGTTCGGCAGGAGAGAACACTGATGAAGCCCTGGGGCCTAGTAGAGTTGGATTTGATGTCTCAGCTTCTAATTCAGATGACAGAGAGAAAGGACCACAGAAGTTACTCAACAAATCATCCACTTCATCTGTAAAACTAACAGAAACAGACAGCATCCAGAGTAAAGACGGGCAGAGTTTAGCAGTATCCTTGAAACCCAAGGGAGATGTTTCTAGTTCTGGCAACCTAATTTCCACAGCAGTTGGACTTGCGTCAAACAGCATCCACCGTAAAGAAAACTATGTTTCAGAAACGTCCTTGAAGCACAATGATGACGAACATCCCAGTGGTGTCACCTTGCATGACTCTGATTCTAGTTCTGCTGATGATGTCGATAATCAAGAAAGTACATCTGCCCTGACAGCCACTGCTGCAAACAGCATTCAACATGAAGAAGGGTCGGATACAGGTCTATACCTGAAGCAGAAAGAACATGCTCAAGCAAGAGCTGTCATTTTAGATGATTCTGAGGATAGTTCCGTTGATGAATTGGATGGTCAACAAAGCACAAGAGCCTCAACAGCCATGTCATTGAATGATAGCTATCATGAAAAGGAGAACAGTTCACCCGTGGGGGAAAAAGAAAGTGTAGCCTCCACCTCACGCTCTAAATCTACCGCAAGTGTATCAAATGACTTGCAACGTGCAGAAGAGAAGAATTCAGCAGTGACCTTGCAGAAGAAAACTGGCCCATTGCAGATGACGGGTGCCCTGGCTGATCTGATATCAAGCATCAAAACCAGAGTCGAAAACGACGATTCGATTGATTCATCTGATGACAGTGAAAGTGAAGAGGAGGAGGAAGATGAAGACAGTGATGATGGCAGTAATGACAAAGAGAGCAGTGATGAAGAGGAGATGGAAGTGGAGAAAGAAGAAGATAATGTTGCGGAGTATGGCAGCAGTAGCAATGACTCTGAGAGCAAGCAGCAAGATATCACTGACAGCAACAAAGATGATCAATTACATGCCTCAGAAGAGAGAGACCAAAGTGGTAAGAAGCCTGAAGGCAGTTCAGTGGACCAACATATTCCTGAATCATTTAACTCTGCTGTGAGGAACAAAGAGGAAGTGGAGCATCCCAAAGACACCTCTGCTGATGAAGCTGCTAAGGATCATTTATTTGTTGGTGAGGGGAAGGATCAGGGAACTTCGAAGCAAGGTCAAAGTTCAATTGGTGATGGCTCCACTGGTCCACCCTCCTTGCAAAGGCTTTTGAAGGAGAAAAAGAGATTCAAGATGGCTTTTCTGTCGGGGAAGATGTGACCGATGACGATGCAGCTTGTCTATCCTATGCTGCGATGGGGAACGACGAAGACCACGACGAGGCACTCTTCGATGCAGGAGACCAGTCCCCGCCTTCCAGCCCCATATCCTTGGACATGAATATCGCCTCTGACGATGATATCGAAGACACTGCGGATGAAGACCCCTGTGCCCCTGGTCTCCAACCCCCAAGAACGTCATCCATTGCTGGAACCTCCACCGATGAAACAAAATCAAGACCACAAGAGATGTCCTCCAGAGCTGAACCCTCTTCATTGTCCCTGCAGGATTCGACCCTGGATGAAGCCATTTCATTCCTGGATATTGAGAAAAACTCTGACGGTACCTTGAATGTTCTCCTCAAAGGGGACTATGATGATGAGAAACTAGATGAACTGTTTGAAAAACCTGGGGTCATGGATTATATAATGACAGCAGCTGCCAAGAAACCCTGAATTGACAGGTGGTTTCAGTTTTATTCTACTTTTCTTTTTTCTTTTTTTTTTTACAACTGGAATAAGGTGTTTCCTAAAATTCAATAATTTCAAGAGAAGTATTAACGTTTGTTAATTGATAATCATACTTGTTGTAATTTTCTTTGAAACCAACTGTCCCTATTTCCATGCACCATTGGATAGATTTATGACAATTAAACTCTTTTATTTTCACTTGAATATTCAAAATATTATTGGATATGAAGTAGAGTTATTTATGTGATGCAGGCTATAACATAAAAAGATATAGCAGTTCCAAAAATAAGCATTAGTACAGGTGCCACTACCCAGTCAACCCAACCCCCTCCCCCTCCCCCCCCACCCCCCCTCCCCCCCCCCCCCCCCCCCCCCCCCCCCAAGTAGCCCAGGATGACAAATTACAGAAAATATGACATTATTTTCTTTTTCAGTCTGCTGAAAAGTTTGATTTTGACAATTTCAGCGATTGCCCGGATGGCTGAGATAAAAATATATACAATTGCCCAGATATCATTTCTATGGTGCTGAAATTGAAAATATGACAACAGGTTGAACTCCTACACAAGAGTAAAGTGGTATGGTAAAAATCCTGTATTTATATAGTTTGCAGTGACATATAGTCATTGATGATTATTTTTTATTTTTTTGCTATGATATGTTCATGTGTATAGTATCTTTTATAACAAAGCAATCATGGAGATAACCTTAGGACATTCGAGAAATACCAATTCAGCCCTGCTTTCCAACGACCCCTAAGTTTACCCAACAGATGTTCTGTCACTATAGTAAGTAGTAAACAGTTATAAAGTCTTTCATTATAATCCAGCTGCACGTTATGCTGGGTTAAAATAACATTTAGTTAAATTTATCAGTGATCCTTAAGTTAAGTTCCTTATTTTAACAAATTAATAGTTGGTTCGGGGGGGGGGGGGGGGGGTTTATAAAGCTGTTCGTAAAGTTACGCATGACTTGTATATAGAGTGCCAGATAGGATGCCCAAAGTTTTTTCTGATATTTTTAAGAATGTTAATCTACATCTGCACACTTCAACTTTAGTTGATGTATTTAATAATGATTGAGCATCCCATTTGGCTTTTCATATACAAGTCGTTTGTAAAGTCATGCATAACTTTACGAACAGCTTTATGAAACACCCCCCAATTCAGTCTTTATTTACACTCTCATTAAAAACAAAATACATAGATGTATAAACAACAGAGCATCATCAATGAAGAGAACATTACATATCAATTAAAATTTTAAAAATAATGAAAATGAGGGGTCCACAAAAAAGAGCAAGTAGCATACACATGCAGCATGTTGAACCCGGAATTTACAATACATACATGATTATAACAAACGAACAAAATAAAATAAAAAATATTTGCCTAAGTAACCTCTCTGTTCCTTGCAGAATCTTGGAAGCGGTGATGGAGATAAATCATGCGATTGTAATTTATGATATTCATGTGTGTCATATTTCTCTAGTGCATGTAGAGAAAGAATCTATATGTCGTACATTTTCTACTTGTTATCTCCACTTTCAATCACCCCTCTTATCCAGTCGCTGTGCCACAATGGATGTTTTTTCATTTTCTTCCAATTCTAAAGTTTTTCCCCCATCCCCACCCTGTTGACTATTATTTTATTGATATGTTTTCTTTGGGGTACCTGTATTTCGTCCTTCGACTGACAGAAGGCCATAAGCATTTTGCACCGTCCAGTTAAACAGGGACATGCACTATTACGTATAGCAGAAGGTTGTAACATTTTTTTAGATGTCATTATTCAATGCGATACTGCTCAAATTAGGTAGCGGTAGTTGTCCATTTTCTCATCTTTTTTGTATAAGTCGATATGGAGAGGAATCCCTATCAACATGCATAGAGCACTTCTACCTTAGAAATGAGTTGTCAGAAATTTGATTTGTGGCATGTGTGCATACTAACGGCTTTCTGCCAGCAACATTGGTCAACGATCTTTTGTTGTTGATGTTTTATTTCCATAACATAGAATGAAGAGACGATCAATAGAGAAGGGATTATTGTTAAGTAACCTAGCTGTAGGTGCATGTATTTTGAAAAAGATTGATTGTGTGTAAACCAATAATCCATGTACTGTAAAAGCAACACTAGTAAGATTTAAATAGCAGAACGAGGGTGTTATTTTGTAAACTACATGTGTGTATTTCATTTTTACATTTCAGTAAAGGTATTGTAATGGTTTCAACAAATTTAAACTATGGTACACCCCATTACTAGTGTTTACAGAGATATCTTTTTGAATCAGATGTGTGCAGCTATCTATGTACTACAGTCAAAGACCAGTCATAAGTGGTATTTGTTGCGACAGTTGAGTATTTCTGCAAAACGTCTATTTCTGTAAAGCATCGGATAAAAACAGTTTTGAGAATAGCACCCATTAAATCCCCACTGCACTAGTTTGGCCAGGAGGGATTAGACCTCCCTGCATGGTCACTGATAGGTGGTTATCTCATCAAATCAGCTCCCAATTAACATAAGAAAAGGAGGATCATGGGGGACCAATCGTCATCGATTAGGCATTGTTTGCTATATAGAGGGCGCAAGTAGCTATCAGTAGTGTAGTGAGGCTTCAATTTTTTTAATATAATTATATGTGGATGTGTCCTTGGAATTAGTGTATTGTGATTTGAAGCATCTGTTTAAGAAGTAAGAATGAAAATCTCATGTCATTGCTAATCTTGTAAGGCCGAATATAAAATGCAAACTATGTCATCTGCAGTTAATTGTCGCCAGCATACCATCTTTTGCTCCGCAGAATGGTAAAAATTGATGCCTGTTCAACAGATGTATATTTGGAAGATAAAAATGCAACTAATGACCATATTGCACATTTCATGTTAGACAGAAATAACCATCTGGTATGGGTAATTCTTTAATAAAACTGACATTTGTCAAGGCGGTCAGAGGAGCCAGATGTAGTCTCAGCAGAACAACCATCGATATGGGAGATGAAGCTTCTGGTTTAATTTCATGTGTGCTGCCCTCCTCAGTTCAAACATTGTCGAAATTGTGAAAAGTGATGACATCACTGCGGCGAACAAAACAAGAAAGTCTTAAATTTCACACAATTTGTCGTTAGCACTCTTCTGCTGGGCACAGAGTGATATACATGTATGTGAAAGGGAAGGTATGTAAATGTTAATGCTTCTTGAGCTACAACATCCTTGCAGCTTTAAAATTAAGTTGTTAAAAACAATGCTAATATTTCAATTGTTTTTATTTTATATTGTATGACTGATATTTCTGTTGATGAAGTCCATTTTCCCCTATTATTTTTGGAGAAAGTGGAAGAGGGCATTATTTGACTGATATTATTTTTTTTATATACACAATCGTGTTTTGAATTCACAATTTCAACGAGTGCATTTTTTAGTGCAGTGAACCATGATATTTCTCATTTTGCAAATGATTGGATATCAGATTTGATAAGTTTTAGTTTTGTTCCTCAAGATTTTTGATTAAAGTACATGTATATATATTTTTGCTCACATTATGTAGCATTGTATTTTTGCTAATTATCAGCATACATATTGAAGTAAATGGCGAGTTACAATATGACAATAGCACATGTGAAGCGATGTCAAAAAAATATTGTATCGATTCTTTTTTTTATTTTTATGTACTTTCTGTATACAATTGTAAATTGCTTGCATTCTCAATCATTGCAGAGTTGAAAAGCAGTACTAAATGATTCATTTGAAATTTGCTTTGTTGTAAAGACTATCAAATTATTTTGCGGGTATGCAAATTGTTTCAAGCTCTACTTATGAGATTACCTTTGATTTACTTTTGATTTGCATATTTTGTAGGAGGGCAGGACATTGAATAGTTGGAGCTCTGGTCAGCTTTTCACGAAACCGTCTTAAGTCTAAATACAAGTATAAGCACAAGTTCACCGACTATCCATTGGAATACATGTATGTGTACTAAGTTTAAAACGCATTTCAATGGGATGTCGGTGAACTTGTACTTATGACGGTTTCTTAAAGGGATGCCCTGAATATCATTAATGTTATTTTTGTAAATAGAGTTTTGTTTATTTTAGACTGCTTTTTCATGCTTCTATTCCCAGTAATCATTTGTTTAGAAAAATTATTTTTATTTGCTTACTTCTTTTGCTACAGAGCCGAACAAGCATCAAGTCGCCATGATCAAATTATTTTTTTAGTCAGAAGGATGTTAACTACTCTCCTTTAATACAAAGTCAGTGCCATTCTGTCTTAAACCATGTTCTGTGAAACAGGAAAAAATTCATTGGCATTTAGTCAAAACAATCATGTACTTTTCTTTGCTATGTCGTGTAAAACAACCATAGAAAAAAAAGCTGCCATACTACAATTTGTATATTTATCTATGTATTATCTCCCCAACATTTTAAATATATTTGTACAGAGACGTTTATCAAGGAGTATGTTGTATATATTGTTTTCAACAATAAAAGGTGATACACATGAATACTATGTACAAACTGATTTTGCATTCT